CACGTGTGCATGTATTTACTTGTATATACAGCCATGTGAAGTAGCAGCTTTAGATTTGTGTTTAGATCGCTTTTTCGATCCATTCAATGATCCATCATTCCAATGATTGACTATATCTTACCAGTCTCGACTATAGACCGCACTGATGGTGTTCCCACCGTGTGCGGCTCAGCACACTCCCGGCGAGAGCAACGACGGTGTGTCGGCGATCAGAGAGAGACGCTGTTGTATCGAAAGGACAAGGGTGACAGAAAACAATAGTGGAACATTAGCAGAGCCGGCCTTTAGCAACATAGTCGGTCAGGGGCTCCGCCATTACAGCCGTAGCTGTGAAACAATGCGTGACTTCGGGATGTTTGCGCCTTATTGATGCTGCGTTGTACTGTAGGGTGCGATACTGTTCGTTGCTCCTACGGCGTAGCCACTGCTGGGGTTCTCCTTGTTTTTTGTAAGACGTTCTATTGGGCCCGGTTGAGCGGGCACGCCTTGTCTTGCAGGACATCCAGCAGGCCAAATGTGGTGACAACTATGCTTCTACTGAAAATGGCCGAACGGCAAAGTGTGTTATCGTCTGCCATGATAAAGTTAACTGTATGTCGTAGCTTAATGTTGTACTCCCGTCGTCTCTTCATCGCCGCAAACTCCATTAGTTGGGGAGAGGAAAATAAGGTTTAGACTTTTTTTTTTCGTTTCATCGCTGCAGAGAACGCAAAAAGAGGCGAATCCGTTCGAAAAAACAGTTAGGACGGATGAAGCGCGCGCCTGTTGCTGGAGCTGACTGTAGCTATCTCGATAGAAATACAACAAAACTGTTATAGCATAAGTACACGAAAAATCTACTTTGTATGACCTACCTAGGAAAAAACTATTTTCAGTCGGACAGTATGAATCTCATACCGGATGCAGAAAATCGTAGAGGTCCAAATTCGAGGGAATTTGCGAATGGAAGAAGTTACTCGCCGGTCGCATACGGGTCTTCTACTCTGTCGTTGGTTCGTTTTAGGGAGGTCATTGCTAAATGATTATCTCAATGCTTAGTACAAATAGAGGCAGTCCAGTTTTGTTTCTGACCAAATACTATTAAGTATTATTTTTTTCCCTTAGCCATGTCCTTCGCAGCGCATAGCCTTACGGCCACTACTCCGCGCGATATAGCAAGTATGCTCTTCCTATATTATGTATATAACGCGAATTTGGAAGCAAATTTACCAATTATTAAGACATACTGATAGATGCCCTGTAGTTTCTTGCAGCCTTATAGTGACTTCGAAGTATGTGGCCAGAACCTATCACTAATCTTCGTACTAGCTCAATATCTAAGACCACTATTATGTCTGATGTTCTATTGTTGTTTAGGGACAGATCTGCTTCGAACTGCCGGGTGTAAGTCGGCAGGTTTGTTGTGAAAAGATATGTAGCATCGTAAAATGTCTCCCTAGATTCAATATGTATATTAGGATGTATGTGCCGCTAGTAAACGAAATTTCGCTGTCGAATCACCTCATTAATGTTACTATTTTTAATAAATTAGTATATTTTAATATATGACGCATCTTTACATTATTATGATATCATTAAGCATTGTTCTAAGCATCTAAGCATCTTCTAGGAACATGTGAGTGAAAACTGGTTGAGTCTACTCTATGAGTAATTAATTAATACGAAAAAACAGTTTCAAAAATCAAGGCCCAATAGCCATGTTCCTGTTACTCAAAAGTTATGCCGCTGTGAAAATTTATCAAAGATTGGAGTAGTGGAGACCAGCGAAAAGGTAACCAGATGTCGGTACCTGAAGGACAATGATGAATTGCCATCATCAAACAGTAGAGGCTAGGGCGTAAAAGCTTTGTAGTCTAGAACTGGGATTTCTCATGTGACATGTTACAGAGTTATCACCCGAATATTGAAAATGCGGAAAGTGGGTAAGAAATGGGAATTGACGTGGGAATTATAGCTTAATGTCAGAAAAAGTTTTGGAAATACCTTGGTGGTATATTGCACATGCAACCTGTGGGATTTTAATCAGCAAAACAACCGTCTAGAGGAAACGATCGTTGTAGACGAAGCATAATTTAATCTCTGCGGCTAACCGGAAAGGAACCAGGCGAGGAAGTGTCGTTGCCTTGAAGATAAACCGAGTTCGCTAATAGTGTCGTAGGTTCGGACGCAACGCGATGATAGTAATGAAATCAGAGGCACCTGGCAGTATGAGGTACTCGTCGAAAACGTAGCACCGGATTCGTTTGTAACAGCTCAAAATAACATAAACGTATATGAATGAAATAAAGCTTAGCAAGCTATGCGGAAGGGTACAGGTACATTCACACATAAAAACGTTCTCGCTGTGAACGCGGTAGCTGAGCTAAACGTACGTACCATAGTTTCTACTCGATAATAGTAATCAATAGAGAACCGTTTTTAGATTTGCTGTATATGCAAAAGTTAGCCTCGGCTAGTGGGGAGCTAATGGATCACAACGACCCTCAGCTTCACGAACGGCAAAAAGCTGACGCACCGTAGTACATTGCTTGGAAAGGGACATTAAACTAATATCGCTTCATTAGCACGTAGGAAGAACGGTGATGGCGTAGTGGGTGGCGTGTTTGTCAGCCAAGCTAAGACACACGTGAGGGGATCGAATCCAAACGTGGACACACGGTTCATTTTGTGTTGGGAAACAGCTGTCTAATGGAATATCGGCGATGTTGGACGTAAAACCCAAAACATTTACCTTAGGAAGAACAGCAAAGAATATGATTGAAGACGTCAGCACTAAGCAACGAATGAGCAAGACAATGAAAACACATTAACAGGAATAACGTCATTATTGACTATTCAGTTTGAAAAGCTTCTTTCGACACATTTCAGTACTTAATAGACCTTTGTTTTCTCTTGATATATAAAATTGACAGAGATATAGTGCCAACTCCTGGCGTTCAGTGATAGTTATTAAGCCACTGTGTGAAGCTCGTATACCGATCAGTCTAGTAAATGTACAGGGCGTGTCAACACGAGCCCCTTATTAATGCTCACTGTAGATATAAAGTGAACTTTTCTTCGTCGTTAAAATATTACAGTGTCTCCACCCACGATTCTATCGAGAGTTCTGATGCGGCTTTATCACTGTCATCTTTATCAATAATACATTTTGCCCCAAAGGTAACCTGTTGAATTCGAGCTATTGCAACATTGTTTATGTCGAAGAATGAACAAGCCGAATCATTTTAGATCAATTGTAATAACACTAAAGGTGCCGCGGGGTTCCACGACTGTTATGTGCACGGTAGGGGCTGTGATATAGCAAACAATGATAAGCTTCGACGTAATAGTTGGAAGGGTCAACGTAAAGGACGTCTACTCATCACTATTATCAGAATACTAAATAGCAATGAAATTATTCGTTTAACTAGTCCGTTACTGGTTTAACTAGTTAAAGGGATTTTTCGAACAAAATAAGAGATATCAAGTGAACTGAGTTTAGACGAAGCCTGTTAACCTTTCTGGCCTCGACGCTAAAAGCCTACTTTAAGCTCAAGGGCGCGACGGTCACCTGTCGTTCACACATAATCAGGACAACAAGCGTGTTCAAGCAAAATCCGGTGCCAATAAACTTTCGACACCTCGTTGGGTATATGCTGCTTACACGCAGGGAGAGTGGGACTACGGTTTTATTTAAGATCACGTCTACAAATCGGCTGCAGCCGCAAATTGGACCAGCCTCAGGACGGCAGGCCACAAGCAATCAAGATGAAGTCATCAACGGCTAACGAGTACAAAAAAGGCAAATGAGCAGTGGCAGGTGTGCAAAGGCCAAACAGCAGACTGCAAAATCTATCGAAAAGGTTCGGATCTTGGAAGTGGTGAGGCAGCAGGGCTCATTAATTCTTTGATACCTGCACTCGGTAATGCTGGCAAGTATAATGTTGAACAAATAAAGGTACACAATACGGAAACGCTCTCTTCTAGTACAATTAAAGCGAACTGCAATTGTGACGCTTTTACGCCGTGCCGTTATACAGGGAACGATGTTATTTAACTAGCCATCATTTTTGTCTTCGATATTTACGATCATGCTCTAGTCATTATTAGTAGACGGTTAACGGAAACAAGGTTAGCGATGGAGAACAAAAACATCCGTCAAGAGCGACCGGCCTTAGCGCGCCTTTAACGCCAACCAAAGGGAAATGTATATATAAGAGGACATTCAAGCTGAAAGCGCTCAATGGTAAACTGCAACATACGACGCGACCAGGAACAAAGCAATGTTATTTATATTAGTTTCTGTATATATCTATGTAGATCTCGTTTTTGATAACCTCATCGTGGGGCGTCAATCTTCAGGGGTACTCTCGCAAGTACGCGGGACATTACCGTAAAAGCGGCCGCATCCCCTTACATGTCCTTCTTCGTTCCCCATATTTATAGATTTTTCTCTATCCATTAACTCGTAGACCCGTGCCACTGATTCGTCTGGCGGCTCTACCGTTCCACGAATATTTTATTAATCTAGTATAAGCAAGAGTATTCTCAGCCTAGTGATATCTACTGCCCCGTAAACAGCGTGATCAAAAACTCCTAAAAAACATTAGATTTTAGGCCCTACCTGTCATTGTGTCAAAGTGCATCCTCGAAAATTCGCTTATTAGTCGTATCATGACACTCATTTTCCCAAGTTTTTTCCGTCACGCATTGGAAGAAACTCCATGGGACTTCGTGGTCAGTCATCACTGAATAATGACACTACGATGAGGCAAATGATTATTTTGAAGATCGTGTAGCTCAGAATGACCGATATCAACTTTTTGCTGATGTATCGACTCCTGCTTTAAATCTATCCATAGCCTTTAAAGCAAAATAGGCTAAATGTGCAAATATATAATACAATTAGGCTACCAGATCCGCGCGACTGTTAAAGTAGTTTAGGCAAATGTTAAAGTAGTTTCAGCGGCAATTCAGAAACTTACCAAACATGCAAAAACATACACTTCCCGATTATCTGCGAAGAAGTTCCAGAGAAACTCCTCTGATCACATTTATTTGGCAATAAAAGCTACGTCTTAGCGTTCCGACACCGAACGTATATCATCTAATATTACTATTATGGCCACGTTCACTTTGGCGTCGCGTGACTTCTAGCGTCTATTGTCTGGCCACGATTTCGGACACTAATTAGTTCTAACTCACTTTGTAACCGTTTGTATGTTCGCTTACTTTTATATGAAGGTCCATAATGGTATTAAATCTTCCTCGAAATCCGGTTCAAGTGTGTTACGTCGCATTTGTCCAGCTTTTGGCTAAGTCGATGCTTCTGGGTCCGATAGAAGGGTTCACTATGAATTCTGTTGGAGCAATTAGCGTCAGGTCAGACGCCCTCACTGCACGTACACACAGTAGAGAGAAGTGTGCCTTGTACGTCAGAAAATAATTGATGTAACCGGGATCATCTTAATCTTCACCGCCGTCCACGCTCGTCGCCTCCTGTTCACAAAGCCGAACAGAATATAACGACCGCAATCACGACATGTAGTTTTTTCCCTGAAGTTGATAGGATCAATATAATTAAATAAAATTAAACTTGTTAGCTGCAAACGTTCGCGACGTAAAGAGGTAACGGGATAAGTGCCCACTTCTGTACAAGAGTCCTTTCGCTCGACGGAGTACGTATTGGATACGTTCAAGCTCATTTATAATGGAAGGATGGTTTGTGTTGAGGGTCAACATTTGAGCAAAGAGCGCTATTTTTCTGAAACATATACGAAGTTACGTCACACTCTTCTGTCAAGCTCCTTAGGGCTACCTAACGATGCGTGAACTAATAACGCGCATAACACTCCAATAGTGGATGGTACCGTGTGTGATTAACGACGTCCTGTAGCTGAGGTTTAGGAATAATTTGGTTTAAAAAAAAAAATAATAGGAACTATATGAATGGCGATCACAAAAAATATTGATTGCAGTACTGCCTTCACGACATGGGCCAATTCAAATGAGATACCTGAGTTCGATTTTCGTCTAAGGGCGTTGCTTTTCTGCTTATTGAAAAACGTGGACAGAGACGAAATACGGTGTCCGCAAGGTCGCCAAATTTTAGGAGGATCGAGTTCGTGGGAAACTGTGGTCCCTAATATTACGTTTTGCCGTTCTGCCTAACATGCGTCTGTGGATGCCCTACTTTTAAGGCTAGAACCTGCAAAAAATCATATTGTAAATTTGCAAGCATAAATATATACCGTTTACATGGGTACTTATTCAATAAAAAATAGGAATATATTAGTAGAAATACACGAAATCAACATGTTTGCTTTTGACTGATAATATACGCTGTCAGATTATACAGAGAATTTCGAATTGTACAAATTTGTATCCACGTGGAAAAGTTAATAACAAGATCAAAACTAGAATTTTCACAACATAATACATCATTATACAAGAAGACCACATGCGAATCGCTCCGTCGATAAGCCGTAGCTTTTACGGCTTAATAGAAATATAAAAAAAAAAGCAAAAATAGGAAAGTTAACTCCACAGTGAACCATAAGGGTTAACTCTTTCCGTTTAGTTTGTGACACTCCTTTGAATTGTTCGAAAATCGCGTCTTTCTTAAAAAAAGCTTCTCTGCCTCACGTGAATCCCTAACGGAAAAGAACGAAGTCAGAAACGCTTTTCATGACAGATGTGTATAGGTCTGGGATTTGACCTGCAGCTGTTGGTGTTGTGCAATAGGTTACTGCTTACGCATTTACAGCCGTTCCTGTGGTAGCGTAGCGAGTAACGTATGTGCCAGCTAAACTTAGGGGTAGGTTGTGGTCTAGGTTGGAACCCGACTGCAGACAGACTAGCGGAGGGCTAGCCGTCTGACTAAACGTTATACCGGGCGTAAATTCCAAACACAGACGGCATTAGGAGCTATTGTGTCGGTATATACAGTCACAGGAAGTCATAGTGAACAAATAAAGCATTCTATTGATAACCGAGTTATCTATCGCCGTTTTGATAAAAGGCTACTTTAATGGGCTTGCCCCACAGAATAAGGTGATGTACTGTAGAAATCTGTGAATAAAATGTGTAGGACACTATGAATAGAAAATTTCAACGCATTCCTAAACTTTTCTATAGAGCCAACTTGATTAAGAGCTCTTTGTTGAACCGCAGAGTTCCTTTTAGAAACCGTCATCGGGTCTTCTTTACTTCAATGCAGACGCAATGAGTGCACTGTGTAGAGGGTCTATGTGTAGATGTCTGAATGAAATTGCAAACGTCGATCAGGCGTGTCGATCATGCGCGTCGTTCGGAATTTTACTATAATTTCGAGCATAGTTCAGCCAGAAGTGGTAATTGAAGCGCTGTTCGGTGCTTCAATTACCACTTCTTCACGCAAGTGAGCCCTCTTGAGGCCTTACTACTCACGGAAATAGCAAGTACGTTTCGCTCAGCGCTGGTACGATTCGGCACATGGGGATACAGTATCCATTTTCGAAATTGTAAATTACAAGGCAACACCAATTTGTATTCATATTGTTTTTGTCATGATTTATATTATTGTTATTATCGAATAAGTATATGAATGCCACTTGACAAACAACTACTCCGACTACCAAGTTGCTCTCAATTCCAGCGGTTGTTAGAAGGAACATGGCCATATTGCGGCGGTGGAGAATCATAGCATATTATTCCCATTGAGACTAGCTGTTGTGAAAGGCGGCCAGTATGGCAGGGTCAACCAGCTCCGTTCGGTAAGACCAGTTCTACGAGAACCGGAGTAGTTAGTCCAAACTACCCCTGAAACAGATACAAGGCCAAACTTCGTTCAGCAGCCGTAGCGATCAAAACGACATGAACTGTCATTCGGCAGCGCGTAACGGCATGATCCAGCTGGTGCCTTGCTAGACCGATCCGTGGGGAGTTGTCTGGCGACAGAGCAAAACTATTTAAACATTAGAAAAATCACCGGGGGTTATAGGGAATGCGGTTGGGAGACCGTGTGTAACAACCACCAGGCAACACGCCGGAGGCGATAGTAAAAATCGCTCCTCTTTTCACTAGAATAATGCACACAGACAGAAGCGTGTGCGATACACCGAGACGTCAAATAACATTTTTCTAACTGTACAGCCAAGTGTTCCCCACCGATAGCCTACTATTAGCTTAGTCTGTACATATGTATATGGAAACTTTGGCTTTGCCGATGTAGGCTGGGTAAAAAGATATCAGCAAGTACAAAATACATTTGACAGTACTTTTTTTTTAGCTTTTATAAGTACGAGAGAACCTCTACGTATATCATAATGCTGAGCGTTAGCTAGCACGAGATTTGCTTGGCCTGTGTTAAATGAATTGCAAAAAAGTCTACGCACGTCTTGACCCTGCCGGGCCAGGACTAGAGCACTTCTTCTAGAGCACAATGTTAAACTGAAGGTGAGCTTCGGTTTTAGCTGTGTTCATATAGCAAACATAACGTCGTCGTCTGGCCTGCAACATTATGTAATAATAATTATAAATAGTAATTTTACTAAAATAAAAAAAAAAAGGATACATAGTCTGTACTATATACTGCTAAATTTGATTTAGCCGTAACGACGGATTGCATGTAAACAGGCATCCTTTTTTATTATAATATTTATATTGTTGTGTCTTCAAATTATTATCACATTTTTCGAAAGTATGATATGATAGATGTGTCCGAAGGAAATCATTTCTTGATATCGCGCTTAGAATCCTCAACAATCGTATCTGGACGTCGCTGCAATATATTCGAATTTTTCCGTGTAGATTTGCTGATTACTAAACTGTTACACAAGAGTCATTGCTTGCACTCCTATCAATAACATGTACTCGTCTGCTTTTTGATACCTATCCTCAGCCTTGTACGTGCTGGTCCTTCTATTATTGGTGCTAGGGGGCGCCATCTGCAGCGTACCTTTGCTCGATGTGTCGAACTTAATGTGGTCGATCTTTTCGTGCATTGTGCTCACTTTGAGCTCCATCTACTGCAGTCAAGCAGGGCCCCACAGCTGTTGCAGCACGTGCTTTTGTATGGCGGAACTCACGTCCGAACAGGGCGACAGGTCGCTGCCAGTTGTGGATAGGACGGCGGTAGGTAAATGCAATAGAGAAACGAGAACAGTTAATAAGGAACGCATTCGGCACTTCGTGCATGATCATAACATACACATGCGGTAGAGACAGATGTATTTTAAGCGGCCATAATTAACAAATCCAACAATAATAGTTGTTACATAGGTTGGCGCAGTCAATGACTCCCTGGTCTGTCCATTATTATGATCACAGAACCGCAACTGCGCCAAAAAAGTTATGGGAAAAAAGCAAATGATTGGTACTCGAATAGCTACTGTTTGTGATGACAACTCGTCATTACTAGATACGGATCTTCAATAATGAGCGCTTTTTCGATGCGTTTTTGCTAGGAACATTCGATTTGCACGCGTTGCCGGGATTAATGCCATGTCTTCTAATTATATATATATATATACGTAATCAATCCATTACGTTAGCAACGGTAAATGTATCAAAGTGTTATAACGGACAATAAAAGGTGGTAGCGCAATATATCTGAGGTGATCACGATTACATTACAGGATACAAACCATTGTTGCTTCACTGTTGGATGCACGGATAAGTGGCTGTATGGCGTAGAGGATTGAGTGTGCCGCTCCGTTAGTGGTGACACTCGCTGGTGATCCCGACGATCGAGGTAATTAAAAATCTGAACATACACAACTTCTATCGACGATGCTGCCACTTACCGTGCTTTTCGAACAACCGCCACCGCCTGACCCTTGTTCTTGGAGGGCGCTGTGTAAAGTTCCTGACATTAATGAGCGGCTGGCGCTTGGAGTCGCCAGGGGGGGCAAAGCTGCCGTGAGATCCGCGAGGCTTCCCCCACTACATGTGGATCCACTGAAATGGTAATCCAACGGGTATCAGCGAACAACGACTATACCAAGAACTATGATATTGATAAAGAACCTACGCAGCTTGTCAGTACTATATCGAAACTAGCTTGTCTGTTACGCTATTGCGAAGACGTCAAACGAGATCGAGATGTTGATAATATGTCGAATGCGAGGTCAGTAAAAAAAGTTGATGAAATTTCTTGTTGTTAAACATAAGTAAACTTGAAGTGAATAGAAAATCACTTCAAGCTTAACGTACCTTGTCACTGATATTTCCTTTGGCTGTTTTCACTATAAATATCCCTACACTTTTTACTCGTCAGTGGTAAGTGGACACTTCAAAGTTACACCAGACCAAGCGGCTAGATTCCTCGAGTCAGACAAGAGAACCTCGTGTGCTTATATATTGTATGCCACAGTGCTAGATACATTTCCCGAGGCTCTGAGGGCGCCAAACGGCTCTCTGCCAGTTTCAGCGACTAATCGCTTGTTTTGAATAGTTCGTGAATGGTTTTTCGCTTATACTGATTTTCACAGTTTCGGGACCGCGGAGGGGAAATGGGCGCAGGCTCCCATAGTCGATGACCAGTTCGAATAGTTGCACTACACCCCTAATAAAACGTTACCGACATTTGACATAAATGTTGAATCATCATAAGTAGACTTTGTATATATGTGTGTGTTTTAAAATGATGTAGCCTTTTTTGTAGAGCGCACTAGCTCTTTTACAATACTGCGATATTGCTACGTTTATCTGATGTCCACCTATATACTTATTTATTAAAGAAGAAGAATGATAGTTCGATTTCAACACGAAGTGTTCGTTGGTGAGCATAATGTCACACTGATCCGGGCACTGTTTTGGAGGCTCAGTTCTTCAAGGGACGATTTTGTACTTGGGTGCCAGCCTAACTTACTACTAGAAGTTCAGCTTGGACCATCTTGATGGATCGTGTACCCTTATGTGACATTTGCCATACAGCAGTATTCAACCGCAGTAGTATTTTTCGTGACCTTTGAATGATTTTCTCATTCGAGAATTTCACATATAAGCATGTTGGGGCTGCCATTCATAGGTCCGTTCTATAGCGTATTCTATGAGTCAAAGTTTTCTGGTTGTGCCATAAGTGCTAATTTTGGTAACTTTCTTTGCCTACACCTTAGAACAATGTCTTAAACACTCGTTGTCCGACTATTCGTAAGAAAATACAGACGACGACAAAATATCGACATGTACATTGCGTTGACATATCGTTCATCTCGAACTGTAGCGGCACCGTGGCGGCGAAGGGCCCCTCTATCTAATATTGAGCTGCTAGTAAAATTAGAGTCTTTTTTTGCATGAAAATTCATTTTTAGATGTGAGGCATATACAATTAATACCCTGGTGAGTTTTGGCTGCTATTAGATAATGATGTGACAGAACAAGGTAAAAATTAAGTAAGTTAATTCATTCATACGCCACTGTATGCTTTGAAGCGAAATGAAGGAAAATTTCCTGGCCATGTTTTTTCCCGCTCCAGATTATGGTAATTCGCTAAAATGGCTGGTAAGTTGCTGAGTTAGACGGGAGAATGAAAACCGAACATATTAGAGTTTACGTCGGCACCAGCTTGAAAAAGTTGATAATGTATGTATACACGAACGTGCCATATGTTTCCAGCTTGCCTTAACGTACCCTTATCAAATCGGTTGCCTAGCTGTGTGTATTACAAATTCAAGCTTTTTTTCGTTCATCGTATTCATCGTCTTCAAATTTATATACACTGCTCCAGGAGACTCTCATCCATGACACCAGCGTTGTACTTTACCCAACTGGATGCTCTTGCTGTTAGTAGCCTGTACATTATCTTGTACCAACAGCTGGATAGCTGTTTTCCTTGCTATCATTAGGCTTCAAGGTGGTACTAGCTATAAGTAGCTCGTCCTGTTTTGTGGCTGTATGTCTATATGTGGTTGAATACCTGTGATATCGTTGACGATTACACAACTTAACAACGGTAGCTTCCTCACAGGCCAGGGAGTCGAGTCGATTCCTTTCGAACCAATTGAGGCGAAACCTCCGTGAATGAGCAACGTACATGAGTGTGGCCCCCAGAAACAGACAAGCCATCGAGACGCATATCAGAAGGACTGGGTAATTCCCGCTCAAGTCCCAGAAGCCCCACGCACTTTCCATCGTCTTTGGGAAACACACTCTTTCGATCAGATCGTCAACAGATTATCTGGAAATCATCAGAAAGCATACGGTATTGTTAGTAAAGAGATGTTAACGAAAACTTAGCAAAACGAATAAGGAACTGTATTTGTTTATTTGATCATATCAGAGATATACTATTGAGTGATAGCCATCGTCACGACTAGATACAAAACCCTTTTTTAAGAAATATTTTTACAGAAAGAATGCTAATAACTTATAATCATGAGGCAGTGGTGCGGCTTTTCGTACTGGCAAAATGGCCCGGCCATTTTGTGTCGCACTGAACAAACCCGGGCCACTGATAATTTGCCCAGTTGAACTTAGCAGCCCAAGGTTGGTAAATTCCAGATAGAACTCCTAGAGGTTTAGTTGAAGCGTGAAAATTCACAACCTACCGAAGCGGCTCCCATTAGTAAACATAAATGACTTTTACACTGGACCTTGTTGGCGGCGCTTATAGATCTGCATGACTTAAGCTTCTTATTTTTGGGTGTAGCCACCAAGTTTCAAGGTCCGCGAGCCATTGGGCCAAACCATCCCGAGAAAAGGACAGAATATGGTTGTTGTATAAGGGTATCACTGCTTTTGTGATGTAGACACTAAAGTCATATGGTTTTAGAACTACTTGATGCTACTTCAAATTAAAATTAATGATACAACGGTATGAAAACACTGACGAAGATAAGTTCGTTGAATGGTACACAACGGTATGAGATATTTTCATAATTGAAGTAACAGTCCGTGACAATATCAAGGTTTTCAAGTTTCTACGTTACACGTACACGAAGCTACGTACTACATCTCGCCATAGTCTAGGCTGTTCCGTTTGGCTAATTCGTTCAAGCCAAAGAGGTTGAAAAACGATCGAAGCCCAAAATCTAGCAATTGCGCACAATAGGTAATTTAACCTATAGCAATGAACTTATTAATACCAATAGAAATACATTAGTATGTAAAGCTGGCAACAAAAGGCTCGTAAAGAAACTTCGAGCATGATGCAGTTACTTGTAGAAACATAACTATGTATTTCCATTATGTTTGACATAGTTCATGGGTTAACGGGTGCGTCGCGTTATAATCGACTAAGTTAGTAATTGATTAACGCGATTTATCAGACCAGGTGACGCCAACAATATATCTGTCTAAATGTTGCCCAGTTGAAGATCTGGCACAGCGCCACTATTACAGTATGTTTAAAAATATCTTCTTTTTTATATCATTACCTATATTGGAGTGCTTACTTCACGAGGGAACGCTAGATCACCAGCTCTATACGACTGTGCCGAATTGCAGAGATTAAATCATCGTTAAAATTATATTGTTCTCAGTGAGGACTCATCGTCTCAGAAGACGGCTGTGACGTATACTCTGTAGCCTGTGATTATTTGGGAGCGACAGGCAAATGAGTCATTCAAGTAACGTTAAGTTTCACTCTGTTTTATGTTGAATTGATCTTACTGGGCTAAGTTATATCTGCTTGCTCAACATCGGGCGTATTTAACCGTACACATTTATAAATGGGTCTGTAAATATCCCACTTGTTATTGATTAACCAAAGCTATCACTGCTCCGTGTAGTTAATCAATGCTACGAACATCGCTTATCCGGTGGGGTTCGTTAGCTCTTGGCTCGGGCCTCGGAGTAATTCTCAACCAGAATTGTATTGTTTTTTCTAAAAATTTCTTAACCGTATATCTGTATAAATATGCTACTACAGAAAAGGGCATACATTCTCTTCTGAATAATGGGAAATGAAGCGTTCGGTGTCCTCATATGTTCACAGTGATATTGGCTTCGCTTGAGAACTTGCGTAAAGGTAAGTCAACTTCTTTCAAACCCTTCCATAAATTAGCTCTATATATATATAGATATATATACATATAATAAACATTGGTTAAAACAGACGTCGGACTCTCAACAACGAACACGTAATTGTGCTGCCAATAAGTTGTTGTCGTTTTATGCTACCTTTAAGGAAGTTCTTAAATAGTTCAAGCGGTATTTAAAAAAATTGAGAATCATTCGGAGTAACACGTAGATGTGCCGAGCTTTAATTCTCTCGTTACCTAACAGATCCCCCAATTGCTACTGCTCTACTTCGTTAATTAGCTGAGACTAACTTCCATAGTTTTATAAGGGTGCACGTGAGAGCTTAGTGCAGATAGTATCTCGGAAAGAATCTTATCGGAATACTATACGGATAGTACTTCGGAAAGATTATATATCTGACTTCTCATGGTAGATGCAGTTCGTTACGCAGGAGGCACTCGGAGCTAGAAATTGTGCCCGCTGAAAACTTAGTCCTTCAAGGAACAGTACGAGGATCTGAGAAACCGTTACAGAGGCTTGAAAATACAATGATAATGCTGATAGAAGGGGACTACGTGTTCTTCGGTTAACAGGTGCGAATTCGCTGATCGAACAGCTCGGATATTTTTAGCCTTGCTATGCGAATCACGAGGCGTGGAGACATAAAACTGAAAATTTATGCGATAGTAACTGTTCAGTTTTACTCAGGTCAACAATTTTACTACACAGACAAAGCCATTTGGTTGGTGCCTACCTCAAAATGATGCTGCATGACCCTCTATTGTAAATTGTATGCATTAAAAATTTTACTTAGATACAACAGCAACAAGACAGGCTCGTTCGACTTTTTCATAAGAGTCATCCGGTTCACCTAGTCTTTGGCTGTTTTTACGCACACATACGGCCCTATCGCTATACGTACGCTGGCGGTACGGATGTTTCCTGAAAGTTATTCGACCGTCTCGTGGGTCATTGTAGATCGAGAATCCTTCGGCTGTCGACGAAAGGGGTTTACGTCCTAAAGCAACCGCTGCCTACTGCAACATGTAGGACAGAGGCATCCTTTCTTCTTTGAATGAAACTGTAAACTCGTCCTGCTGCCAAGAGATGATTCCAGAGTATTCTGCACTTCAACAAGAAAGCTGCGAAATACGTGCTTTCAGAATGATAATAATAACAACGCCATCTCGTTATTACGGAATCATTTCGGTGTGAGGCTGATTTTGAAGCTGTGTAATGTCGAATAATCCATGGACGATAGGCAAACTTCCTGAAAGATCCCCACCGCCACTTTAGAGATGCCGCCAGATATATTTGCGAAGGAATGACCTAAAACTGGGTAAAGTGATTAACTGCTGTAAAGGTAGTCTAATGAGGCCACCTTATTGGTGTTGTGCGTAAGTAAAACATTATACGTAAAAAGTTTGTATTATGTAAAGTATGTAAATACATTCAGTCGTTTTTGTTAATGTCACTTTAAAGTAGCACCCGATTAGATAGCCTTCCCTTTAAATAGATGTTTGTAGCGAATCTTGCATGTAGATCATCACCATTAGTACTCGTACAAGATGAAGCTCAACAGGCAACCAACAACAAAGCTGGTAAATAATCAGGGTCGAAGTATCATCGACACTTGTGTACTTGGCTCCGCTTTCAGCACCAGAGAATTGAAGACAGCCGTTTATCTGAGAACAGTCTTTTCAAAAAAGGAAGAAATTTAACTAAGGTAAGAGCAAATAACAATGAAACCAGCTCAATCTATTGACCTTCTTCACTTCTATTTCTAGAGGACAGTGTAGTTTTTTTACGGAGGAGCCGTATTCTTTTTTACCGTATTATTGTAGAAACGAAAGTTTACGTAGACCGCCGCTATATCAAGAAGATAGCTAGGAGTAAACAATAACCGTTGCTCTCAAAAGCTGTCTTTTTTCATAGTCAGTAAAACACTAATCACTGACTATTAAGTAGAGTTTACATCGCAACTCAGTAATTTCGCCCATAAATAGTAAATATTGATGATTTACATAAACAAATAATCTATATATTTACTTATCATTGGCCCTAGGTTGACATACGCAGCTGATTAGCGTACTGGGCGGTTGTGCTGGGTTCGTCATTGCTAGAAAACATGTGCGACAGAATTAGATGCTTAACATCTTCGCAGAAGGGCAAAACATTCAAGAACAGGCCCCAGATGTCGAACACACATTGAACAAAAACTTGTGCAATAATAATTTGATAGGACAATTGAACCGTCAATAGGAGCGGCGATAGCTTTCGACATGCAGGTTCGACACAACGATATAAACACGCTTGTCTTTATAGGATTGCAATTTTACTAACATATATATATATACCAGTAAACGGTAGGCTGATAAAAGCTTTTATTATTCACGTATTTAGTTAGTAAAAAAAAAAATGCACTTCCGTTGAAATCAGCTATGAATTAATTGTCATTATTTAGCTAGATGCTGGTGCGTAGGATTTTATGATGACGACAAGTCCTGTAAGATCGAACTTCGTGAGGCTTTCATATTTCGAGACTTCGCCATTGCATTCCAACATGGCTTTATGATTTAAATTGAATGTTAGAAGGTTATTCTTCCGTGTCCTGTCAGCTCCTGCCATTTTCCGTATGAAGTAGCTTTCGTATGAGTACGAGTAATCACTTCTACGGGTCCATAGCACGCAATGACATTACGTAGCGTCGCTACAATGTCTTTTTTCTAGCTCCACCCGATTTGACGGATATCTTGCTTATGGGCCCTTCTATAAAACGGAATAACAATTTAAAATTCCCTACTTAAGCCGCGCTGCAAGTGTCTTTTCCGTTGTCGTAAGCACCGCGAGACAGGATCGCGTGCCTACCCAGCATACAGTCTAAAACGTAGATGCATGCACATACATTCATGCAATGCCACCGTCGCTCAGTTTCACTGCAGAGCGAATCTTTGTCGGGACTAGAAGTGCAAATACCATTTTGAAAATTCCATCTCGAAATCGCAAATAGCGTAAGGCTGACAAGCTATGTGATATCATAAAATCACTGGAGCCTTATTTTAGATCCCATCGGCTGCCTGTTTGTTGTAGAACGTCGTTAACATTCGCGTTTTGAAACCATTAGGCCACCATTCTGGACTCGAAAGCGTCGCATTCGGCGGTGGTTATGGCTGAAACGTTTGCCAATTTAGTCCTAAAATATTCAAGCAGATTATC